ATAAATAAATATATATATATATACATTATATATATATATATATATATATATATATATATATATATATATACCAAGCATACATGGAATATTTTTTATATGTCCACATTTGACTGATCAAATATCTCACTATCAGAACAAAAAAGCAAAAGTATGCAGGACAAACCCTGCAATTGTTTGTTTTCCAGTTGACATAACTGAAACTAGTCTAAAAAAGACGCTCCATCAGTTTTCGCAGTCCCTCTCGAACACCCTACTTTTGTCTCCCTCGTTCTGTCCAAAGGAAGCCCTTGTTTTGCTCCCCAACACAAACCTCCACTGGAATCTCTGTTGAATCACAGACAGTTTGGCCTTTTGACGAAAGTTTGAGAAAGAGCCGCCTTGTGTGAGGCGTCGCAGTACAGCTGGCCGGCTTTTTCCCCGCAGTAGTTTATTAGACACGGGCTCTTAATGAATGGCCGCCGCTGTTACAGTAAGCCACAATTACTCGACTTATCTTTCTCGCCACCAGCGATCTCACATATCCTCAACATGGCCATCATAATTCCTGCCGTCATAAAGAGGGCCTGTCCCGCACTGGCAGCAGCTACAATACCGGCCCTTCAGAGACAGCTCAGGCCATCTCTGACTGTGTGTCTGCTGGCTTTACTGCGGTACAGTATAGTATATTACAAGCTCTGCTTTATTGTCTTAAAAGCGAACGTGTGGACATACAGTGGAACGAAATGTTGTGCTCGCAGGACCATGGTGCTGCATAAATAAACATAATCATTGATATGAGCACTGGATGTAAGAGCTATTTTAAACTTACTAACATACCAGTAATCTACTAACAAACTGTACATATACTAAACTTAACCATACACACAACCTGAGACAGACTAAACAAGTACTTTTACATAGGGCAGAACAAATTTGTGCAAGATGTTGTGCAACAGAGGTATTTAAAGTTGAAGAAAACAAGTAGTGTGACATGATTTGCCGTACATTTGCAGTGCACTTGTAAATTTACAGTTTTATGGGCAACCAAATTGGCCGTAAATTACTGTAAACTTTACTGTAAATTACAATTATTAATTTAAAGTGTGCATAAAAATGTAAAGTAACTTACTAGCAACCAAAATTGCTAGTAAGTTGTTATAATTATTACAGTAGATGTTTATTTATTTACAGTGTGCATGTATATTTACACTCTTATTGGCAACTGAGATTGCTAGTAAGTTACTGTAAATTTTACAGTAAATTTTAATGATAAATTTACAGTGTGCTTGTACATTTTTACTCTTACTCACAACTAAATTGGTCAGTAATTTGCTGTAAATTTTACATTAAACTGTAATTATGAATTTAGAGTGCGCTTGTTTTACAGTCCTACTGGCAACAAAAAATGCCAGTATGTTACTGTAATTTTTCACAGTAAATTGTAATTATTAATTTACAGTGCACTTGTTTTACAGTCTTCATGGCAACCAAAATTCCAGAAAGTTGCTGGAAATTTTACAGTAAATTTTAATGATAAATTTACAGTGTGCTTGTACATTTATACTCTTACTGGCAACTAAATTGGTCAGTAAGTTGCTGTAAATTTTACAATAAATTGTAATTATGAATTTAGAGTGCGCTTGTTTTACAGTCCTACTGGCAACCAAAAATGCCAGTAAGTTACTGTAATTTTTCACAGTAAATAGTAATAATTAATTAACAGTGCGCTTGTTTTACAGTCTTAGTGGCAATCAATATTCCAGTAAGTTGCTGTAAATTTTACAGTAAATTGTAATAATAAATTTAAAGTGTGCTTGTACATTTATAGTCTTACTGGCAACCAAAATTGCCAAACAGTTACAGTAAATTTTACAGTAAATTGTAATTATTGATTTACAGTGTGTTTGTACATTTATTCTTACAGGCAATCAAAATTGCCAAACAGTAACAGTAAATTTTACAGTAAATTGTAATATTTGATATGCAGTGCGCTTGTTATACAGTCTTAGTGGCAACCAAAATTCCAGTAAGTTGCTGTAAATTTTACAGCAATTTTTAATTATAAATTTACTGTGTACATTTATACTCTTGCTGGCAATTTTGGCTGTTGTTTTGGTTGTTAGCAATGTTACTGTAATGTTTTACAGTAAATTGTAATGAATAATTCATTGTGCTTGTAAATTAACAGTCTTACTGGTAAGTTAATGTATATTTTACAGTAAATTGCAATTATTAATTTACAGTGCACTTGCAAATTTAAAGGCTTACTGGCAACAAAATCTGCCAGAGTTACAGTAAATTTTACAGTGAATTGTAATTATGACTTTATAGTGTGCTTGTTTTACAGTCTTACTGACAACCAAAATGCCAGTAAGTTACTGTAATGTTTTACAGTAAATTGTAATTAATAAATTTACAGTCTTACCAGTAAGTTAATGTGAATTTTTTAAGATATTTGCAATTATTATTTGACAGTGCATACACATTTACAATCTTACTGGCAACCAACATTGTCAGTACCTTGCTATAAATTTTACAGTAAAGTTTAGGTATTAATTTACAGTGCGCTCGTAAATTTACAGCATGCGAGCAAAATTGCAAGTGAGTTGCTATAAAATTTATGAGTAATTTTTAAATGATATATATTTATTTACAGTGTGCCTGTACAATTACACTCTTACTGGAAACCAAAATTGCCAGTAAGTTGTTGTTAATTTTACAGTAAATTGCAATTATTAATTTACAGTGCACTTACACATTTACAGTCTTACTGCCAACCAAAATTGCCAGAGTTACAGTAAGTTTTACAGTGAATTATAATTTTGATTTTATAGTGCGCTTGTACTACCAAAAATGCCAGTAAGTTACTTTAAGTTTTCACAGTAAATTACAATTAATAATTTACAGTGAGCTTTTACAGCCTTACTGGGAAAATACTGTAATGTTTTACAGTAAATTGCAATTGTTATTTACAATGCACTCATAAATTTATAGTAATTTACTGGCAAAATGTCAACCAAAAATGCCAGTAAGTTGCTGTAAATTTTACAGTATATTGTAATTCTAAATGTACAGTTTGCTTGTACATTTATACTCTTACTGGCAACCAAATTTGAAAGTAAGTTACTGTAAATTTTACAGTAAATTGCACTTATTAAGTAAACTTTTTAATTTACTGTAAAAAAAAGTTGCACTTGTAAATTTACACTTTTACTCGAAACCAAAATTGCCAGTAAGTTACTGTAAATTTTACAGTATTTTTTACAGTTTAAACTCATTCTTACACTTAAAATAACAAAACAGTAATATTTAAATATATATTCCCACAACAGTACAGAAGATATTTCACTAAAGAAACTATGTGACGTCCTCTTTCCGTGTTTAATGGATGTAATTCTCGCCGGTTTGTGTAAGTAAACGATGAATAAATCTTTGTTTTGGCTCAACTTTATTTTTCCGTGAATCAAAGTGTAATTAATTATCGGAAGCGTTCCTGTAAATCTGTCTGTGGTCTGAAGAGCAGCAACTGTAATTTGGTTTTCTCGCCATTAGAAATCTTCATTCAGTGTGTAATCCTGATTTGCAAGTAAAAACACGAGAGGCTTTGCTATGGCAGAGCAGCAGAATTAGACAAACAAAGGTGTGTGTGTGTGTGTGTGTGTGTGTGTGTGTGTGTGTGTGTGTGTGTGTGTGTGTGTGTGTGTGTGTGTGTGTGTGTGTGTGTGTGTGTGTGTGTGTGTGTGTGAATGCTGTTAACGTTTCAACCCCGGGATGAGAAATTATTAAGAGGCACGCATACCCGTCTACAATGACGCAACAGTTGTGTGTGTGTTTTAACTTTGTATTTCAAGAGCAATAAAACACAACATTAGTTTATTGGACAGAATAATCTTACACATTTTTTGAGCGTGAAGTGTATGTGGGGTCAACAGGGTCTGAAAAACACTGCGCTGTGAAAGAGATTAAACTAGAATATGAAATGATGCCAACAATGTTAAACCAGCCATTCTAAGGCGTGATGATGGAAATAATATTCAGGTTTTATTATTATTATTATTATTATTATTATTATTATTATTATTATTATTATTATATTGTTTATAGATATTATCTTTAAAAAATAAATAAATAAACAAACAAACATGAATAAATGAATAATAAAATGAATTCAAATAAAATAAATACAAATAAAAATGTATATAAATGAATAAACATGAATGATTTAATGAAATAAATACATAGATGAAAATAAAATAAATACATAAATAGAAATGAATAAGCATGAATGAATAAATTTAAAAACTGAATTTAAAAATAAATAAATACATAAAAATGCACATAAAAGAATAAACATGAATGGATGGATGAATGAATGAATGAAATTGTTAAATAAAAATTAAATAATTATTAAAATAAACATAAATGTTTAAAAAGGAATGAACAAATTAAATAAACAAATATACATACAAAAT